AAAATTGTCTAGATCCTGCCTTTGGATTTTTTTCTTAACTTTATGGAGATATAATTCACATATTACAGGGGGGATTGCATAACTCAAGTGGTAGAGTGCATGCTTAGCGTACACAAGGTCCTGGGTTTGATCCCCTGTACCTCCTCTAAAAATAAATAAGTAAAACCTAATTACTTCCCGCCACCAAAAAAAAAAAAAAAATCACGTATCATATAAGTCACCCATTTAGGATGTATAGTTAGTATCTCCTAGTATATCCAGACATGTGCAGCTGTCATCACAGTCAATTTTAGAACATTCCCATCACCCCAAAAAGAAAGCCTGCACCCCTTGGCCATCACCCCTAGCCCCCATCCCCCTCAGCCCCCGGCAACCACCAGTCTGACTTCTGTCTCTATAGATGTGCCTGTTCTGGGTGTTTCCAATGGATGGAATCACATGCTGTGTGGTCCTTCATGATGAGCTTTTTTCATTTGACAAAACGTCTTCAAGGTTGCTCCATGTTACAGCGCTCGTCAGTACTTCCATTTCTGTTTATTGTCAAACATTACTCGGTTGTGGGGCTAAACTGTTTATCCATCCGTCAGTTGATGGACCTTTGGGTTGCCTCTGATTTTGCCTATTGTTAATAATGCTGCTGTGAACATTCTGTCCAAGTTTTGGTGTAAACATGTTTTCATTTCTTTGGGGAATATACTTAAGAATGGAAATGCTGTGATGTGGGTCATATGGTAACTCTGTTTAACCTTTTGAGGACCTGCCATAGTGTTTTCCAGAGTGGCTGCACCGTTTAACATTTTTATCCAAAGTGTGTAATTCTCCCAATTTCTATGCATCCCTGTCAACACTGGTCATTAGCTCTCCTGGTAGGTGTGAACTGGCATCATTGTGGTTTTGATTTGCATTTTTCTGATGACTGAGAATGTTGGGGATCTTTTCATGTGCTTATCCATTTGTGTATCTTCTTTGAAGACGTGTCTGTTCTGGCTTTTGCCCATTTTAAAATTGGATTATCTTTTTATGATTGAATTGTCAGAGTTCTTTTTGTATCCTGGGTTCAAATCTTTGATCAGATGTAGGATTTTCGAGTATTTCCTCCTGTTCAGGAGATTGCCTTCTTACCTCCTTGATGGTGTCTTTTGAAGACTAGTTTTTAATACTGATGAAGTTCAGTTAATCTATTTCTGTCTTTTACTGTCCTACCTAAGAAACAAGTGCCAGATCCAGTCATGAAGACACACACCTGTGTTTTCTTCTAAGAATTTTGTAGTTTTAGCTCTTTAATTTTGAGTTAATTTTATATGTACTGTATGAGGTAGAGGTCGAATTTTGATCTTTTGCATGTGGATATCCAGTTGTCCCAGTACCATTTGTTAAAAAGACTATTATTGTCTCATTCAGTTATTTTGACACTCATATTGAAAATCAGTTGACTGTAAATGTGAGGGTTTCTTTTAGATTCTCAGTGGTGATGCATTGATCTATGTCCTATGCCAGTTCCAAGTCAGATGTTATGAGAACTCTTTCCGAGTCACCTTGCATATTACCAGTTGTTTTACATAGTAATAAAAAGTCAGTGTCGTGGAATGTCTGTAATTCCACTTCTGTGGAGATCTGCTGCTTCCTAAAGGGGTCTGTGGCCAGCTTATACCTTGCTGACTCTGTGACATGACAGAAAGTAGGCTTGCAAAGGTAAAGTCCATTCCTTCCCCCCATTCAGACCTTTAGTTTCTCACCCAGTGCCTCCCATTTCACTCCAGTTTCCATCAAATCATGGTCACAGGATCTGCTGACTCAGTCTGCAATATACTTCATTATGTTGCACTTATTATAATTCATAGAGTCATCCATAGATTTCACTATCTAGAGGCAAAAGATTAAGCCTGGAAAAGATTAATTCAACCTTCCTCTTTGGAAGCCTCTCTAATCCATCTTGCGGTTCACGATGAAGTCCTCTCTTGGCTTGGTTCTTGTGTGTAACACTGGTGCCGATCTTGTTCTTGGTGTAGATCCTGCACTCTCAGTTCCCTGTGTCTACCTCCTTTTACTTAAAAAGAGAGATGCCTAGCTGCATTCTATAGCTGAATACATAATGAATGAAATAAATATTTCATCCCATCCAAGGAAAATTTTTCAAGAGTACAGCTGTTAAAAATTAGATAATGTTCAATCAGTTTATCAGAAACAGATAACAGATTAGTAATTTGAATTTCAAAAGTTCAATGCCAATCTGTGTGATATGGAGAAGCATTGTGCTACAACATAAAGCTGAGACAGTCTTAACCTTCCGTTACCAACAAGCTTTGAAGTAAGGCAAAGGAAAAATTGTATTTAAGTACTGCCAAAGGACACTACATTTATGGTTCCATAATATTTTATTTTCTCTCTGAGGAAAGGAAAATGAAGAGTGAGTGCTAGATTAATAAGTTCTCAAAGCTGCCTGACTCTTAGAAGTTCAGTTAACTGAAATGAGGTAAAAAGGCTGATTTTGGTAAACTGAGTATTTCTAGTTGTTTTTCAGTTATTAGACTTCAAATCCTATGTCTCCTCACTTACCAGTCTTCCTTATCCTCAAATTTGAGGGGAAATTGTGAAATACATGCCAATTTGTAAGAAACTGTAATTGGAGGGAACTCTGAAGTACCTTCCTTCTCACTAGTTCTTAGGTCTTTATCTGCTGCTTCTCATCAGCATTTTGTCATTAATAAGTGAATCTCAACGTTTGTTACTTTCCACTTTATAGGAGACCAATTCCTACTCTATTCAAGTTACATTTCTTACTGTCTCCATTCATCCACTTTTCTGTTTATATGTTTTTGCCTAACAAACTCCCCAAAGTTCAGTGGCTTAAATAAGCATTTATTTTGTTCACAACCGACAGTTAGGAAAAGTGTGGCCAAGACAGCTGGCCTCTATTCCTCTCAGCTTCAGGTGGGGCAGCTCGAAGGCGGGGGGGCCTGGAATCACTTGAAGATTCATCCGTTGATGTCTGATGGTTGGTGTTGGCAGTGGGCTGTGGCTTTGGTGGGGCGGGCAGGTGGACTACCTCCCCTGGAACACCTAAGCTGTCTTTGTGGCCTGAGCTTGCCCACATGAGACTGGGTTCCAGGGTTAAGAGCGAGGCAGAAGCTGAACTGCCTTTTCAAACCTAGCCATGCAGTTCACTTGGTGCCACTTTCACTGTTTTCTGTTCTTTAGGAGCAGGTCACTTAAGGTTGGCCCATATTCTACTTTTTTATGGAATTAATTTTGAAAGTTTATGGAGACATTTAAAAACCAGCATAATCTACTCATTAGCCACAATGTTTTCTTACTGCTTCCATACAAGAAATCCACTTATCCCCACTCAGTCCCTGAGCAGGTCTCGGTCGCTGTGGTGTTAGGCTCAGGCTCCAGTCCAGGGTCTTACTTTCCCATCTTCATTAGGTCCAGGTGGGGCTGAGGCTCCTGGGCATGTTTTCTGGAGTACAGCCCCTTGGGTACACTCCTCTCAGTGCTGAGGCTTGAGGATAAGGAGACACGGGTTATTCGCCGCCACACATCCAACATTCTGCTTAACTGCTAAGGACTCCCTCACTCACAGATGGAAGCTAGGAGGCACACTGGTCCATAACAGTTCTGAAATGCAGCCTGATGCTGCTGGCTGTTTGATTAGGACTTAGTCCTAACCCTGGGAGGGGTTCTCCTTCGCTGCCCTCTCTGAGCTCTTTGTTCTGTCCCTTTCATGAGCAGTGACCTGTGTTTGCAGCTGAGTAGTTCTCTCAAGCCAGCTTCCTCCTTGTAGACCTTCTAAGAAAATCCCAAAGGCCTCTTCCCGTTTTGCACTATCTTTGTCTCTTTCAGTCCAAGCTAGCAAGCAGTGTTTTTGCTACCACAGTTCTCTTTAAAACTTTGAGTTTCCTGTGAATTTTATTGGGGTTCCTGCCATTGGAAAAGCTACTCTCACGTCTTTTTGAGATAAACTCTTCACCTTGGGCTTCCTGTGAAGCTGTTGTGGGACCATGCCTGTAAAACTCTTATGCTTTTAAGATCTTTAAAGGAATTTGAGGAGGCACCTTAAATCTTTCCAAGGTCTTAACAGAATGTTGGCTTCATCTTTACACTGTTTTCCTGGCAGCACCCTAGATTTGATCTTAGCCCAGAAGCCATTTCTCTGCTTACCCGTTATGTGACAATTGGGCATTTGGGGATGCTTTTAAATGGGATACAGATATTTGAACCCAGTGAGTCCTGGTTCCTTTCTATTTAATAATCTTTTTGTTTGTTTGTTTTAGCTTATCTCTCTCATCAAGTTTACTTTCAGCTGTTCGGTAGCAAGAGTCCCGTTTCCTCCGGTTTCGGTGTCATTTTCTTCCCTGGCCTAGAAGCCGTCACTCTTAGCCCTTCAAGGGCCCTCAGGCTTCCACTCACAGTCTCGGGGACACTTTGGATTTTCACTCTTACTCTTCTCTACATCTGTTCAGGTTTCACCTGCCTCCAGGTTCAAAGGCATCCCCACATTTTGGGTTCTTTTTCAATGGCTGTGCCCCATTTTTAATATCTGTGCCAGTTATTTATTGCTAATAATTTGTATAATAAACTGCCTCAAAACCTGGTGACTCAAAACCACATCTGCTTGGTTCACAAATCTGTATTTAGACAAGGCTCAGAGGAACCAGCTCATTTCTTCTCCACTTGGCATCAAGCGGGCACTAGAATAATCTAAAGGCTTCTTCATGCTCATATCTGGAAGTTGGAGCTGGCTTTGGTTAAGGACATTCCCTGGGGTCATCAGCTGGGATAGCTGCATGTACAAGGACTCAGTAAGTGGCCTGGGCTTCACAACATGGTGGCTGGGTTCTAAGGGTGAGCATCCCTACGGAGTGAAAGTCAGAAGCCATTTAGCCTTAGAAATCACACAGCAGTGTCCCCACATTCTGTCCTCTAGAAACCAGTTGACTGAGGCCAGTACATACTTCAGGGGAGGGAATTTCACAGAAGTGTCAAGGAATTTGTAGAGTTGTTTTACAACCACCACCTCCGCTTGCCTTGTCTTACCAAATAATTCTTCTATCTGAAGGAAAGTAGTTCTTCCCAAGTCAGTGTCACTGAAATTCCAGCAAGTATTTGTTTTTGTTGAGTATGTTCTCTTGTTTTGTGGAGAGCCACAAAGGATTACAAGAATGAAGGCTATTTTGTTTGTTTAGAAAAATGTATAGATCACCTTACTAAACCACTACACTAGGAGGTGGGTTTCTCCTTAACTCTGTGAATCACTCATTGCTCCTTGGAATGCAATTCAAACAAGCATAAAATATTTGTGGTTCAGAGAAAAGGCTTATGGCATTAGAACCCATATTTGTAAGATGTATTAATTGCAGTCTTTTTTTCAAAGTCTTGTTTTGGGAGTCATTTATTAATTCAGCCCTAAGTAACTCAATATGATCTCCCTAAAACTTTAAAAATCGTGGAGAGTTAAGACTTGGGGGAAGAAGGGGTAAGAGACTTTCTACTAAGAGGTGCCTTGTAGTCATTTTATGTAGGAAAGACATGAACCAATTACAGAAAAATAGTGTAAAATCAAGTACAAATGAATAACAAGGATGATGACAGTAAACAGTATTGTTTTGTGACTCTTGGTGGTTTGAGCTTTTTTCTTGATTTTCTGAGTAATTTGAGTTTCTCCATTCCACAAGGCAGATACCATTTTATTGTAACTGAATTTATTTCAACCTTTGATGCTGGGTTAGAGTTAGGCTGTTCTCAGTCTGCTAACCTCATTGCCAATTTTATCATCTTCATGCAGAATGGTGATCTTCCAGCAAAAGTGGAATCTATGTCTTCAGTACTTCTCCATTTTGAGTGCAGAAACTCAACTTTTTCTAAAGGAGTTATTTATGAAAGAATTGCAAAAGAAATCTGACACACTGGAGGAAGAGAAAAAGCAGTTGGAAGAAGAAGTAGTGCATCTCAGGCGTCACCTAGAAATGAACGCAGTGGAACACAGTCCAGTGGAGCTGTACAAATGGGAGACTGAGGAGCAAGAAAGACGGGATGTAGTGGAAAAACTGAAAAAACTCAGTCAAGTCATGCGGTACAAACAGGAGACTGAAGAGCAAGCAAGACGGGATATTGCAGAAAAATTGGAAGAACTCAGCCAGTTTTTACAGGTGAAGCATTGATCTGTAACGTGCTCTAACTCACTTCGCTGAGAATTACAGTTCGGATGTGTACATTTTATGTGTTTCCACTACTTCCCATATAGCAGTTTGTTTTGTAGATTTCTGGAAGGCAGGCCGCATTTGTTACTCCCTTTAAATAATTCAGTTTCCATCATTACTATCACTAAATTGATGTTTCAGAACAACTCTCACTAGACAATCGTTTTTAAGACCAATTGGTGTAAATCAAGACCACTAGGAGGAAAAGCATATGTTGTGATGTAAATACTGTGCCACATTCTTGGATTACTCCTAGGTTGTATTGTTCAATTTTTAAAAGTTTAGATTGATCCTATTATTCTTTGAACTGTCACATTACATGAGTACTAATATAAGAGTGTTTCAACTTTAATTTCGTAATTCAGATTTAATTCACTTGACATTGATGATAAGTAGTTTAAAGTTCAGCTTTTTTTTCACACTTAAAATTGCTCTCTGAATCACTGACTCAAAACTAAAGGGAACAAATGTAACTACTCAGGTTATAAGTATTTTTAAAATTGTGTCCTTTTAATTTGCTGTAGGCCCAAGCAGCATCCCAAGAAGACTTGCTAAGAGAGTATAAACGTGCTTCAGTAAGTCAGATGGAACACAGAGTTAAAGATCTGGAAACGGAACTGAGAAGGAAAACTTCTCAGTTTGATTGTAATGAAAAAGAATTGGAAAAATACAGGCAGCTGTACCTGGAAGAGCTAGAAAATAGTGTGTCATTGGCAAGTCAACTAAACACGTAAGTCAAAATGTAGAATTATAGAAAGTAATTTAGGTTGTTAATTTGCCTCTAAGGCATAATTTTTATTGAGCCAGTTTCATGAGGTGGGTAGCAAGTGAAAGCTGACTAGATAGTGTAATCTTGGGAAGTGGTGTTAGTAAATGAACTCTCCTTTAAAATGTCAGTCCAGGGCAGTTTGCATCTCGCTGCCTTTTGTTGCTTTTACATGACTTTTTTTTTTATATTTGCATATATTTAACCTGATCTAGTCTTTAAGCTAGGGGTTTTGCAAACTTTGTAACTTAGACAGCCATATTATCACAAAATTTGTAGCTGAAATTCCCATAAATAGAAATGTTAATGAGTTAATTTTAAACTGTGTTTTGGAAGAGTACATCTTAAACCCAAGGGGCCCCATTCTGGTGTTTGGTGAATTTACTTTCTTGACTGTGATATTTGGTGTCACCGCTCATGGGCACTGATATGAAGTGCTGTATCCTTCTAAGTTTGTCTCCGCTACGTAAAGGCATGCTTGGGGAATAGAGGGAAATTCACTTAGGGGTGACAGGCAGTATAGTGGTTCACAAAGTGGCTAAAAAGGATATGGTGGCCTGCCCGAGGGGGTGTGTGGAAGACAGAAAGGGTAGGTCCCACCTCCGGTGCCTGAGTAGCAGTGTTATAAGCTACAGGTCTCCCCGCTATCCAAAAGTAGAGTGTTTTCATGAAAGTTGTTGGTGTAAAGCAAAGAGGCAGTTAGGACACATCTTGCTGGTGGATGCATGAAATAAATATGCATAAGGCACAGGCACTCACAGACACAGTCCAAAGCCGTGGCGGCGTGATGCCGGGACACTGAGTGTGGCTCTGCGGAAGGAGCTCGGTGGGGCCCCTCTCGCTGCTCGGGGTGTTAGTTGCCCCTCTGATGGCTCGGGCTAAAACAAACACCCAGCGCTATTCTGGCTTTTTGCTTTCTTTTCATAAAAGTGAAAATCCGCTTGAGATTTTTCTTTGGTTATGGAAAACAGGTGCTGATGTAGGCCTCTCGTAAAAGCGAAGTAACAAAGTGAGCTTTGGGAAATTGGGGGACACTTGAAATTGCCCATGGCGCTGTCATAGTTCTTTCCCACCATCGACTCTGCCGCCTGGTGCCCCCCAGAGGTGGTGGCTCTAAACTGTTCCTCAGTGCCATGTGCTGAATTTCTCCCAGGTATATAAGGGGGGTGAAAGCAAATGCTTGAAAATGGCTTTGAGGGATGGTTTATTTTTTATTTCTAAACTGGTTTCCTTAGGGTGAGTATGTCTAGATGCAGCCAGTGCAGAAGGCAGCAGGGATCCTCTTTGGGGGCGTCTCCATCGCTGACTCTCCCCACTTTGAAGTACTTGTTAGTTAAGGGCCCTCCAGGCATATACGTCCTTCTTTAGGACAGTTTTAAACTGTAATTGTTTACAGTAGGTCTGCGCTGATGTATGTTTTGGTGTCAAAACACAGTTTAATGGGACAATCTGTTTACTATTATAGCAACTTGAAAAATACACATTAAAAGTACACATCACTTAGAAAGAAAATGAAATGAATGAAATCTGTGCTTTGCGATCCTCGCAGGGCTAATGAGAGGCTGGCAGCAGTGAGCACTGAGCTTCAGCTGGAGAAGCAGCACAAGAGTTCTCTCCTCGGCTCTGTTCCCACAAGGCCTGTTGACGGACCGCCTTCTGATGAAAGTTCTAGTAGTAGCGTAGAGACCGAAAGGAGTCTTACTCGAAGAAGGAACTTCAGGAATTTTTCAGATCCTTCGACTAGCATAAGCGATCTGTTCAGGGTTAGTTATGTTATCTTTTTTTTCCTTGGGTTTCAGATTTCTGATACAATTCTTGTTTTTAATGTGATGAAATTTTGAGTTGTTTATTTGACTTCTGCACACTAAGTAAAAGCCATAATTAATTGTGCTAATAAAGGAGACAGAAATTGTATAATTCTTTAAAGTCCCTGGACTTGTAATTTTCAAGAGATACCTGTCATTAACTTTATTCAATAAATGCAACTGACAAATTCTTAATTTCTTAAAAAGCTCCATTTTAAATTCTAGTTTAGAAATTAAGTATTATTGCCAAATAACTAGAGATCCACTTTCCAATGTTTGGCTTAGCTTCTGATTGATTTCGGTTTGGCATTGGTTCATAGTCATTTTCAAGTTTTGCTGCACCCCAGTTTTTCTACCCCTAAGCATAAGTAAATGATTGGCATTGAGCTACTTAACCACATGCAGATGTTTTTTATTTAAAAGAATCCAAGATATATTCTTTTTATGAATTCAGTAAAATTGTAACACTAAAAACATTACATTCTGTTCTTAAGTTTAAAATTTTTAT